TGAGTTAACGGTTTATTGTCGACATCATCAAATTCATGGTTTGAATAATTAGCTAGAAACGAGCATACAATATAATAACTTTTATAATCTATATCCCAAATAAATAGTTTAAATACCCTACAAAAAAATAACTCTTTAGGAAGTCGTCAAAAAACAAATGTTACGACAGTTTTTTAAAATCTCCATAGACACGTAAACCAGACTAGGCTAAAACATCTTCCGTTTCAAATTTAGACACCCCCACCTTTCCCTGACTTGACATCTATGAAAGTAACTCTATACTGATACTTATTATTAACACCCAACACACGCTAACCCAATTTAAACAATTCGCCCTAGCTGTTACCATGAAAATTTTGATTTCAATTATTAAAACACCTAAATTTCAGAAATACGTTATTCCCAAAAGAATTTTCGCTTGAAGATGGAACAGAGCTTACTTTAACTCAATTTAATTCAAATAATTATATTGAAGTTTTCGGCTCTTGTTTTGAAACATGAGACCTCTTATGTCGCGAGTTGGAATCATATTTTTAAATAAATAATTATATTTTTGCTCTACTTTTGTATCGAGCACTATTTTTTAAAAATAATAACAAAAATACTAAGGAACTTTGGATTATTTACTTAACCAGTTCTTTCCTATTTTCTATATATTTTCACACACATCCATATATATATATATATATATATATATATATATATATATAAAGGGGTGTACAAATGTAATGAGAATGAAAAGATTATAAATTAAAACGTCAGGCATGGAAATTATTTTGTTTTTAGTAAATCCAAGTAGTATCAGAGACGAAAGATTAAATGCGAATCGAAATATGTTTTATTCAAAAAAAATCAACCTTAGCGTTGCGACTACGCGCTCCAAATGTTATTATCTTTTAACAATAACACATTTCTAAAAATGCAACTTTTAAATTTTGTTTGCCAACAGATTTCGCCATTTTATATCATTAACGTTACTAATCTACATTTTGTATGAATAATTATATATATATTATATATATATATATATATATATAAATATATATATATATATATATATATATATATATATATATATATATATATATATATAAAAGACATTATATCTTAGCTTTGGAGTGGGTAGAATGGAGATCAACGTGTTTTAGTCGACTCAGCAATTTTCAATCTGCTTGTCTGAATTATCTTCAAGAAGCGAGAGCAAGATCTAAAAGGTCAGCCAATCTAACAGTGATCTGATCCCCACAATCCTCACGTTTGCTTCATATGTGGCCTCCTTTGTAAATCACTAGCGTGTCTTAAATGCCACTTAAGATTATCGCACAAAATTTCATAACTGAATCAACTAAGCTGTCAGATCCTCATACGTCGAAACCAACGGGAGAGTCCATTCTATAAAGACAAGAGGGGAAACTATTCTTAACACTTACTCGCTATCTTTTGTCGTACTAAAACTTGTATTATGGCACTTCTACAGTTTATGATTGACCATTCAACCTTCTGATGAATATCCATGAACGTTCGCTAATTTAACAGCATTGATATGCCAATGACATCCTTGCACTTGTAAATAAACACATGCAACAAAATTGCCTTGATAAAGTCGCTGGAAGGACGAAATGCGCCGGTTAATTATAGTATTATTTTAAGACAGTTTTTATGTTTATACGTTCTTTATAGATATAAACATAAAAATGTCTTAAAATAATTGTCGAACTTTGTCCATTTCATAATGTGTGAGGTCACTTGTTTACATTTGGATACGCATTGAGCAGATATGAATGTACGTGAGAAAGTCATGGAAAATTATAGTTTATCAAAAAACAGAATGTTCCTAGCAACTGAATTTTCAGTTAAAAATATGAAAATAGCGTTTCTCTACATCCCAGTTGCTAGGAACATTCTGTTTTTTATTAGTTACCTTGTTCAATTATTTTCACTTCGTATTTTGCTTTGATAAAGTCCACATTGGAGGAAACGCGTCAGCAATTACTAGTTTTCCTATTGTCATTTTTATTCATATATATATATATATATATATATATATATATATATATATATATATATATATATATATCCTATGTGAAACGGAAATATGCAGAGGTAATAGACTGAAATAGTGGCATAATGCTAGTCAAAATTGAAGCAAGAACACACATCCAGTTTTTGGTAAAAGATTATTGGTGATTTTGGAAACATTTTTAGAGCTAATTCCTCGAAAGAAAAAGCTGCATTTTACAAATGGATAACTTTTGCCAAAGAACGAAACGCAATTGAATATAACGAAAGGAACGGCTGACTGTCCACTGTTAACCTTGGAAGGTAATTATACATTGCACAAAGTAGAGTCCAGTTGTGTTATAAAAACCTCGAAGAATTCCAGTAATATCTCTTTAATCATTTCTAAGTTACCACGGTTCAGAGATTCATCTAACAAACGGACATTTTTGTTTTTACATGATTTGGACAATTGAGACGCAATTGAATATAACGAAAGGGACGGCCGACTGTCCACATTGGTTTCTGGATGGAAAGAATCGATGCCCTTTGATGCTTAATTAATGAAGACTGACGATCCACAGGAGAAGATAAAAAGCTCACACCGTAAACAACCCAGGAATGTTGAGGAACACCTTTTTTTGTTTCCTTTTGATGAATAGGTCAAGACTTTTTACGGCGAATCGTAACTAAATATAAAACCAGACTATATTTGTTCAGTTCTGAAGTCATTTGAAGCAATGGGTCGCCCGAAATTAAAAATGGTTCTATCTTTAATATAGATATATTTAATTAAGCAGGATCTGTCTATATTTCTGAGATGAAGTATTGTAATTATTTACATTATTCGGACTGTTATCTTCATCTTTATTGCCATATTAACGACGTTTCGGTCGCTGTACGCTCCGGCTTTCTTCAGGAACTATCTATATTTTTAAGATGAGGTATTGTAATTATTTAAGCTATTTACAAATTCCGAACTTTTGTCCGCATCTTCATTGCCATATTCATGGCGTTTCAGCTGTTGTACGCTCCGGCATTCTTCAGGAACTGTCTATATATTTGAGATGATGTATTGTAATTATTTAAGCTATTTACATTGTTCGGCCCACTGTCCTCATTTTCGTTGCCATATTCACGAGATTTTGGCCGTTCTACGCTCCAACCCTCTTTAGGAAGTGTATATCTGAGATGATGCATTGTAACTATTTATATTGTTCGGACTGTTGTTATCATCTTCGTTGCCATATTCACGGTATAAAGTCGCAATTTACACATACGGTGTCTAATCAAAAATATCGAAACTCATGCTATAAAAAGAAAACTACAACATACATCAATTCGGTATTTAATCTCCTTCGATATAATCCCCGTTTGAAGGCATGTACCTTATCCAGCGCCGTTTCCATTAATGGAAGCATTCTTGGAGTTCTGCCTTGTCGCATTCATTTCGAATACCTCAATATCATGAAATCGTTTTCCTTTTACTTAGGGTTTTTTGGAAAGAAGAAAAAGTCACAAGGGCCTGCATCTGGGGAATATGATGGTTGTCGGACGTGGGGAATGTTGCTCTTTGCCAAAAACTGCTACAAAAGCAGCTTCATTGATGGAAACTCTGTCGTGTGGTGAGACGACCACACTCTGCACACTTTCCTTCCAACCACACCTATAAATAATGAAAGTGTGTGGAAACGTTATAACAGTGTGCATGGGTGACGGTGTTCAAGGTCAATCTGTGCCAAGGGGCATGGCATAGGTCCCGATAGTTGTTTTCAGCAGACATCGTATATGAGAACGTGTTTGCTTGTGTATCTGTATACTCTCTCTATATATAAAACAGAGAATGTATGTGTGTCTGTCTCTCTCTCTGTCTGTGTGATACCTTTTCACGGGAGATCCATCCAACCGATTTTGACCAAACTTGGCATATAGATTGTACAATGTAAGAGATAAGTTTTTAGCGTAAAAAATCTATAATTTTAAAAATATCAATAATCGATGAAGCCGATCAAAATCGATAAATTCAATGTTTTTTCTCCGATTTCGTTCAAATTTGGTATGTAGGTTACTTACATCATGACGAGCTCAACGATACCTCATTATTTCTATGACACTGCGTTTAGCGAACAACTGCGAAAAACAAACGGGATTTCAACACAGATCGATTTCAATAAATTTAAATAAAAAAACTCCCTAATTTTTTAGTAATCTACTACAAACTTCATTCAATTGTCGGCAACAATAAGTTGATTAACAGTCATTTAACTTGATAATGAGTCCACCCATATAGTGAGAACCTGTGTAAATTGCGGAAAATACCGGTTTTAACTGGTTTCTTTCTTAATTGTCGTTGATCTTTCAACCAATTTTCATCAAACTTAACAATGGCTTTATAAATGTACCCGCTTTTACATCCCGGGTAGCACATTGAAAAATTTAATTTCAAAGACTCCAAAATAATTGTAGTCTGAAGTCAGTTTTCATGTTGCCTGTTTTACCCCTTCATGTCCTCGGCTAACTTCAATTGAATAAATACAGACTACTTCTGTTATATCAGTAACTGCATTAATTCAAAATGTTTTTAATGAAATTACTTTAAAGTAATTGAAGATAGGTTCTGTTATATGATGCTGTTTTTGCTCCATTCTAATTGAACGCTTTTTCTGATCGACCAGCTGGGTAGGGCTGCTAGTTGTATATAAGATCACTGTTCATACATATGAGTATGTGTCTGCGTACACTTGTGGTGTATACGTGTACTCTATTATCTAATATAATGGAGAATCTTCTAAATCCATTTGCTCAAATGTCAACGAATCTCAGGCGTTATTAAAAAGCAAGGAGAAACTGTTCGAACCTATTCGTTCTGTTGAATTATTATTTTAGATTTTTCTTGAAGAAAGGAAAATTCAGATCCAAGATTTTGTAACATGTTTTCGTTTTTTTTTATGCTGACATGACGCCATTTTTTATGCCGACATGACGCCATTTTTTATGTCGACATGACGCACTTCGTTGTCTCTTTACCTTTTTTCTTTGCACGTCATTTCTTACTCTTACTATTAGGCTTCCCGCCAAGAAAAAAAGAAATCCGTCAGGCAAGGCCGATTGCTTGCCTTGAAAATGAGGAATTGAGAGCGGTGTCAGTATTTAGAGGCGTCTTTTTTTTTCTTTTCTTTTTTTTTACGATTTCTTTTCATTTCAAATATACTTTTTGGTTTTGGATAATAATTTTTGGCTTGTGATCCTGTCAAAAACTGATTTCCAATCTATTTTCCCTTCCAGGGTAGGCAGATCCATTATAGACATTTGTTTTTCGAGAAATCATCATCATCTTCTCCTCCTCCTCCTCCTCCTCCTTCTCCTCCTCCTCCTTCTCCTCCTCCTTCTTCTTCTCACTCTCATCTGAGTTCGTTCGTTTGCCTTTTTTAATTTTAATTTCTTTCTTCCTATCTTCTCAAGAAAAACCTTTTCGATACAGCCCCTATTCTGCCAACTTTACCATAATGAAAATTATTCTTTCTTCCTTTCTTTCTTTCTGGCTTTCTTTCTTTCTTTCTTTCACTCTCATCTGCGTTCGTTCCTGCCCCCTTTTCATGTTAATTTCTTCCTATCTTCTCGAGAAAGACATTTTCGATACAGCCTCCATTCTGCCAACTTTATCTTAATGAAAATTATTCTTTCTTTCTTTCTTTCTTTCTTTCTTTCTTTCTTTCACTTTCATCTGAGTTCGTTCGTTTGCCTTTTTAAATTTCTTTCTTCCTATATTCTCGAGAAAGACCTTTTCGATACATCTCCCTTTCTGCCAAATTTACCAGTATGAAAATATTTTATGGCTGCTGCTAATCTCCAGGAAACTGACTCCTAGCGCCTTCTCAGATTAACATTCGCTTTTGACATGAAGTGAAAAGTTATTATTGCTGGGATTTGCTGCTGAGAAAGCTGCCTCACTGTGTTGCTTGAATTTATCTTAAAAGTATAACATTTGGCCATGTTTTGAATATTGCTGCCATATCCAGTCTGGTGCTCCTGTTTTATATTAAGATATTCTTGATACAATCTAAATAAGAACCAGCAATATTATTGATGCAGACCTGGCATCTCGGCTTCAGTCCCTCCCCCACTGCCGTAATATAGCGTCCCTGCGACGTTTCTATAAATACTTTCATAGTAATTATTCTGATGAACATTCAGCTATGGTTCAAATTTTACAAATGTGTACAAGCAAGGTCTTCATAGAGACTTGGATGTATTATGGTGGCTGTAGTAAGAATGGTAAGTAAGAATTGGTTGTTTTTGTATAAGAAAGACTGTAGTCTGTTTGGATCAGTAATTGTGGCTAGCTAAGTTTAAGATAAGACAGATTGAAGACCAGCCTTCCCTTATCCCTCGTTTTTGGCCTTGTGTCACATTTTTGTATTATATCAAAATAAATATTGCTTTCTTCTTTGGGAACTAGTAAGGTCTTCATAGAGACTTGAATGTATTATGGTGGCTGTAGTAAGAATGGTAAGTAAGAATTGGTTGTTTTGGTGTAAGGAATACTGTGGTATGTTTGGATCAGTAATCGTAGTTGGCTAATTTTAAGTATAAGACAGCCTTTCCCCCTCCTTTTGGCCTTTTGCCACATTCTTGTATTTTACAAAATAAATATTACTTTCCGCTATGATATCTACACGTTAGGAATTTAAAATCAGTTCTAAATTGGCGGTAAGTTCTCATCATTTTGCAGTTGAATTGGGTAGATACAACCGCAAGTTCTATGCCAACAGTTTCTTCTCTTGCACTCTTACGGTTTCAGGTCTCACCATCTTAATTTGATCTTCAAGAATTTTAAAGAAATGGCAGTTGTTGTCTACTGTCTTCTTGATTCATCTTCTTTATTTTCTCGCTGCTTAATAACGTCTCTCTTTCGCTTTCACGCTCCGAAAGTGGCTTTATTGCCTTGCTTGCGCGAATTGATAAAAGAAATATCAAAAAAAGTATGAATCTAAAATTTTCCCCCAACTATAGGTTAAATAGTAAAACTTATAGTAGCGATTTTTTTAAGTAGCAGCGTAGGCAGCGTAGATATCGCCGTGGTTGGCAATAAAGAAGGAAGTCAAATTTGAATTCAAACTGGATGTGACCATGCCACCAAATTACTGGTTGCCCTAACAAATTATCTAAAAATTATCTAACAAACTTTATTCATTGAGAAGCCATTTTTGTAATCATTTACAACTTTTTAGACAGTTTTGCTTACTGAATGCAGTAAAAAAGAATTTTGTTTGCTCGGTTTTCGTCCTCTTAACGAGACAAACACAGACATTTTAGTCAGATTAGAATTGATAGCGCCCATTTATTTAGATTTCTTGAGGTTTCTCCTATGTGTTTTTTGTGACTATTATTACAGGCAATTGATTAAATTCTTTCTTCAGGTTTTAGCTTATTATTTTGTTTAGTATTGACTAATTTAAAAAAAATTTTTTTTTTAGATTGTACATATAAGTGTATATATTAGATATTGCGTTCATTGTCTCAATATGACATCCGAGTGTATATATTGGATATTATTATTATTATTGTTTTTGTTGTTTTCTCAATTTAACATTAAAATTTAAAATTTAAAGCTCCTTGTATTTTCAATATTAATTTTTTTTTTATATACGAGACTTTTATTTATCAGCTTGGGATTTTGTACACTGTTGGAATATGAGGTTCGAATTTTGTTTGCTGGCTTTTTGTCCTCTTACGGAGCTAAACAAAAACATTGTAGTCAAATTAGAATTGATCGTACCCATTTATTTAGATTCCTTGAAGTTTCACCTGTGCATTGTACTCACAGTTATTACATGAAGTTGAAATTCCTCCTTTTGATTTTAGCTTATGGTTTTGTTGAGTATTGACTAAGTTTTTTTTATTTCTTTAAAAGGTACATATAAGTGTATATATAAGATATAATTATTATAGTCATAATTTAACATTAAAATTTCAATTGAAAGTTGTTGGTATATTCGATGTTAAACTAGTTTCTTTTTATATAAGAGACTTTTATTTTTGAGATTAGGATTTTGTCTACTTTTGGAATAAGAGACCGTTGCTCGCTGGTTTTTTGTCATCTTATCGAGAAATACACAGACACTTTAGTCAGAATAGAATTTATAGTCTCCATTTATTTAAATTCCTTGAGGTTTCTCCAATGTATTTTTGCGACAATTATTACAGGCAATTGAATAAATTCCTCCTTGTTTTGTTTAGTATTGACTAAGTTTTTATTGTTTTAGATGTATTAGTAAGAAATTTTATGGTGTGTTTAGATAATATTTTCAATTGTATTTTGTGATGGAGTTGGCTGTAAAGGCAAATATATATTTTGGATTCATTGCTTTTATCAGTTTTTCTATGTCGGAATATTTATTCAGTACTGATTTGTTAACACCCAAAATTAGATAAAATATTTATTTGCAAATACAGAAGGCAGTAAAAAAATAAATGCATGTATTTCTTGTGGTTATTCATTGTCAGAATTCTGGTTTGAATATAATTTCCATTCAATGTATCTCATGCATATGATATTAACTTCACTTGGATTTATTCTTGAAATAGTAAAATTGTCAAGTCCGTTTTAAGCAAAAACCTTCGGAAATTCGAAATTTCTCTGCATTTTTTCAGACGATATTTAAAACTAAATGCTCAAAAATTGGTAAAAGCTACTAATTTTTGTTATCAGTACTTCTTACATCAAACCCCAGTTTTCACGATGAGTACAATGTTGATTTTCTAAAAATAAATGAAAGATCAACCTGCCTTCCACATTATGAGGGTGGACATTTGAAATAGTCTAACATGACGTCATATATACCTACTGTCAGAAACGAGATATTATAGAAAAAAATGAGATTAATTTATTTTATATATTATTTATACATAGACGTCAAGATATCATCTGCTGTGATGAATGATATCGTATTTAAGATGGACTGTTTCGTTCGTACAATAATATCTTCTGGATTTTTTAGTCTTTGCTTATAGGGTATTTTCGTGTTGTCAATTATTATTTGTTTTATGTTGATAGTTACAATCTTAATTTATATTAAGATAACATAGCCTCATCTAAGGGTGTAGACAACTTCCTGCAGCGTGTTGCAGCAGGTATTCCAAGGGATCATTTCATAATTATGGAGCATAAATTTGTGAGCATGAAATAAGTGTATATATTGGATATGGTGTTTATCATCTCAATTTGTCATTGGCGTATATATTATAGATATCTCTATCTATAAAAGGCGGGATGTGTGTATGTGTGTGTAACGAATGCACGGCCGCAATTTTCGACAGATTTGCACCAAAATTTACATGCACATGCTCCAAGTTAGCGGAAAGGCCAAGACCGACTTTGCATTTCTCAACTCCCATCGATAGTGGAAATAATCTACGGCAGTTTTCATGTAGTTTGCGGCCTATTTTCTACTGGCCACTGTGAGAACCTATAGCTGGCTGCCACGAATAGGCAGAAAGATTCTACTGGCCAGCGTGAGAGCCAACAGCTGACTGACACGAATGTTAACTAGCATGCTACCATGCAAAAAAAAATCGACAGCTGCATTCGTCACAAGTGGGAAAAATTTAAATCTGCATGGCACTTTACTCCAATTGGCTCCTTCGCTTGCTTAAACTCAACGTTGATTCTGATTCCGCAGAACTGGGTTGGGTGTGAAAAAGTATTTGTTGTTAACATTCTTTTTTCATTCGGCTGGAAGTTACGAGTCCTTTTTTAAAGCTGGTCACTTTGTGTTCATTTTGTTTAGTTCTTTTTTCGTAACAGATATAATGTTCAGTATAGAGCTTAGAAAAAATTCGCAGTGTGAGATAGGCAAGAAGTAAAGCATGTAGCAACATCAGCGCGGCAAAGGGCACTCCTACAATCATAAAAAATTTAATTGCAACGTCAATCGCCATCTATCTTGAATCCCGTTCATCTTTTTCCTTTGCTCAATCCTTTCTACAGTCAGTCTTTTATCCCACTTTCACTCTTGTACCCACCCGCCCCCAATGTACTAGTGGCATTCCTGCCTTGTTTGGGGTGAAATGATTATATATATATATATATATATATATATATATATATATTTTTTTCCTTCCATTCGTTATATTTTGATAAGGCTGGGACGAAACCGATTGTTCTTTTTACCTTTTTTTAAAAATGCAATATAAATTTTGCTTATTCCGAGCGATCGTTAAATTTTGTACCATAAAAACTTATTTATATATATATATATATATATATATATATATATATATATATATAGAGAGAGAGAGAGAGAGAGAGAGAGAGAGATAGATAGAGAGAGAGAGATAAAGATAGAGAGAGAGAGGAGGGATACAGGATATAGCAAAATACTTTTAAAACTTTGAGGGCACGCTCCTCACATCAAAACAAGGAAAAAGACGATATAAACATATAACTGCAAATCCTTCGCTTTTGAGTAACTAAGTTTAAAGAAATTTTACGATAGACTAGGTTACATTTGTTGTTCGTGTAAATTTGTGGCTAGTCTGTCTTCAACATTTAAAGAAGTGTCTCATTTCACAATGGTAGGATATTCATATCATGAGCAGGCAGATATAATTTTTATCTAGGACCGCGCGAATGGTTACGGACGCGAGGCTATACGGCTGTATCAGATTGCGTTTCCGGACCGAAGGCAGCCGAGTCATCCAAACTTTGCTGCTGTTTTATCAGGATCCGTGGCATCAAAGAAAGACTGAGATCCGCTCGTACGCATGACCACGAAGAACATATTTTACAGGCTGAAACGATCCATGTATCTGCACATATCA